TTGCTCATGTTCCCCATTGCAGCATGCGTTTCTGGGCTAGTCTTATGAATGGTTTTGCTAAAAAGGGACATTTGGTATCTTGTGGGAGTATTTCTTCTGAATTCCTAACTAGATTTTGCATATTCACTAGGCCTGTGTGAAGCGGCTAGTATTCAATTCGAATTTTGCGGATTCGGGGGTCAGTGGTTCGGTTCAGTGACTCGAATCACTGTCCCAATTCGATTCAGCCGAATCTGATTTGGCACTTATATGTATAAATAAATAAAATAAAAATAAAAGACCTCAGAGTTCAGCTCACACTGGGCTTACATTTGGGTATAAATCAAGGGTCTGCTTTAGAATTGTACCCCTGTGTTCTCCCATTTAGAGACTTGCAAGGTAAAATGTCATGCAGACACTGGTGTCAAAAAGATGAGGATCAAAACCATCTGAGCCCATACGCAAGGCATCTACTTCACATTGGCCAGCTCCACTGAATTTGGTGGACCTGTTCCTCATCTTCCACAAACATAATGGAGAACAGTATCAGGCCCATTGTATTCAGACTGATAGCAGAGTTGGACTGAAGTTTGCAGCTGGGCATTCAGATCTGACTGGCTGGCAGAGTGGGCGGGGATCAGCAGGCCGTAGGGGGGCTGGGGGAGTCAGGGGGGCTGGCAGGGGTCCCCCCCTGGTCCCCTCCCCCACCCCTAGTACTTACCAGTTCTGAGTCAGCTGCAGCTCCCTGCTGCAGCCACCGGGGACTGCCCAAATCACCAAAGCTCTCCGAATCTTTTCCAAAGATTCAGAGAGCTTTGACTTGATTCGGACCTTTAAATTGGTCCCTGATTCGATTCGGATTCGGAGATTTGGCCACCGAATTGGGCCGAATCTCCTCCGAATCAAATCACCACCCGAAGCTTCGCACAGCCCTAATATTCACCCTTGGTATATATGCCAAGAATCAAGGGTTCTGTGTAGCCTCCCTGTTTGATGCACTAGTTGACCCTCAGGTACCAGTGGGCAGACTCTGATTCTGTTCTTCATACTGACATTTCTGTCTTTCCCAGGAAATTTTAACTTAAGAAGCATTTCCAAACCATCTGCTTCACTCTGAAATTGTGTTCAAGTCTGTTTTTCACCCTTTAGTTTGTTTTGTTTTCCCTTTGTAAGCATATCCCTTTCACAGACAGTTTATTATTTTTGTCATTTATCTTCAGTTTTTGTTTCTTATTTTCTAGGAACCTCCTGTAAAAACAAAACAAAAATCCCTAAATGACAAGGTAGAGCTGTTGCATGCTCCACTTAAGATAAGCACTACGACAATGGATGTGAAATGCACCAAGCTTGCGAAACCAGCTGAAGCTGACTCACAATCATAAAATGCAGCTGATTGCCTGCAGGCTTCTTGCTAATAACATTTAGTGCCAGGCATACGTTTTCTTCTTTGGTGCCTGACACATGCTGGGCTACCGGATGATTCACAGGAAAGAAAAGGGTACTAAAAAAAAGAAACAAAATGGGTTAGACGAAACAGAATTGGCTGCCATTGGCCTCCCTTGCTAGCTCAGATTGCTCGTTTAGCCCATACCTTCATGAAAGGCACACACACACAAGTTCAATTTCAACTTTGCGGAGCAGGTTCCCTGTTTTATTAGTGATTCAGCGTAGATTCAGGGACAACTAATATTGCTGCACTCAAAGTATTTTTGTCATGTGTTGACTCTCTTGAAGCTTTTCTTTTAAATGCTTCAAGTAGAGAAGGACCTAGGCTGACAGCATTTACTTTTTCTTGCCACCCTCTCCCCATTTTTAATTGGCCAACATAAACATGGGGGAAAAAACAGATTTGGACATTTTATGAATTTCCCCATCTCCTTTTATACATGCAAATAACCTCCCATGGCAACAAAATACTGGCACCAATTTGTGAATATTATAGAAGTGGATACCATTTTATTAATAAATAGGCCAGAAATGGGGCTATGTACATGTACAGTTTGCAAGTTAAATATATAATTACTGTAAAAGATCTTATGCATTATTTTCTAGTAACTGAAAGCAACACATTGACCTACAGATCATAAACATTTTTTTTCATGGAAAAACAATTTGTCATGCATTTATATAGCCTTCAGGATTAATGACTGAGTTCATGGAAAGTGGCTAGTATCATTATGCACCCCCTTGCCCCTCTTTTTTTGTTTTGTTTTTCCTTGACTTAAAAAGTAATCTACCTCTTAAAATTTGTAGTTTAATACTTGTTTGGTGAATTTGTGCCACTTTAACTTTCACTTTCACTATCATTCCCATTTTGTTACATTTCTGTTTTGGGATCTTTATGTTGAAATATTGTATAAAGCATTTGTAGCAAGTTTAAAAAATAAAATATTTAAAATTATTTAAATTGTTTTGGACACTTCAATTGTATTATATATGTGATTTACATTTTACATTAATTTCATTTTTGTTTTTATTTTGGGTTGTTAATCTGGAGAGTGTTCTTGTATTAAAGTTTGCTGTTAGTTATATTGTTCTTTTGTTGGAGAGTGATATAAAGACTATTCTAATTAAAACATTAAAAATTACAGTTTGACATACAAATGGGGTTGTCCTTGCTTTTGAACATTGTAGACTTCTCGGAGATGTTTTAAGTGCAGGTAAGCAAATGAAGAGAGGTGTTCTCTTTTTCACTCTGGCATGAAATGAACATTGAGAATTCATCCAATGTATTAAAAAAAACCCTAAGCTCTTGCAAGCACTTAATGACCAGCTAGATGGGACTACTGTGATACATTTTATATAACTGTAACCAATAAAGTAAACTTTTTAAAAACTGGTGGAAAACTTGCCTTTTGTATCTAAACGTGGACTATGAGGAACAACAATGTACATCTAGAGGGAATTAAGTGTGCTTGCATCCTTTAGATAATTACATGCAACTTACCAAAGCAAATATGAATAAATTCTGTCTTACTGTGTTTTGTTTTTTAATAATTACTTATGTAAGTGCTATTAACAATCCATTTAATAATATAGCTACAAATTCAAAAGCAATAGTTAAAAGTATCATGTAATGATTGACTAGCTGTAAGAGTGTCATAAAATACTTGGTCTACATACGTTTTATGCTCTGATTTATATTTCTAGCTCATTGAACTAATTGAAAATCAAAGTGCATTTTAAGGCTTGTAGGACAGGTTATTTTTATTCTTTTTGTTTAGAACATAATGTTCCAAAACAAGGAGGAACTATGACACACCTGACCATCCAAATAAAATCCTTCCATAGTGGTGTTTTTGCATCTTAAAGCCTGTTCATGCTGGTGTGAGATTTAAGTAATTTTAAATGATCACGTCATGGATCATACTGAAACTATAGGAAGTTAATAATCATAAACCTATTGGAACATCCTACCACTAGCCCTGAAGGAAAAAGCTAATTGATACTTTTCGGTGGACGGAAACAGCACAAGATGGCATGTGATGATATCCCATGGTTTCTTTCACTGTGCACGCTAGCTTGCCAATGGCTGGTGAGAGAGCGCCAACACCAACGCACGTTTGCCTATTCAAATAGCTAGTCGTGTTCATTTGAATGATACGCAAGCAAAAATTACATGTTTACTTTATTTTGTGGAAGTAGATCCGTTGCTACAAGTATTTCCCTTATATTGTCCAAACAGCAGTATCCTGTAGGAATCAGCTCAAAGAGTCATAAAGCGCACGATAAACTGCTACAGACTTTACACATGCAAAGTATTTGAGCTGTTCCATTCAGCAGTATATGAGCCACTCTAACCACTTAATTGCAGTGATGATTGGGGATAACTGTGCTGAGGATACACATCAGTGATGCATCAGTTTTGTTCCTGATCGTTGTTTTTATTCTCATCAGCATGCTACAAATAAATTGTGCCACCAAGCCAGTACAACCCAGGTACTTTTAAGGGATTTCTTTTTCTTACTGTGGTGTAATAATTACTGTAGTTTGATACCTAGTGTGGTCTAGACATTAGATTGAGACAGAGATGCATGGTTAGTGTGGATACCATTAGCCAAACGTATAATTATCTTAATTTACATAAAGTAGCATCCTGCAAAATTTAGAACAACTGTCAGTTAAATTGGCTATTTTGACTGAATGAAAACATTTTGTAATAATTACCCAGTATAGTTGCATGGACACATCAAGTGTGAAGCAAGTTTAGAAAACATCCTGTATGTCAGATATTAAGTTGGTAATGTCATCATTGCATGGTGTGCACAGATGGATCTGTTCATACTTCAATCACCAAGTCAAGTTCTACTTGCATTTTCACCAACTTCAACTTGTGACCATTAGATGCCTGCTTGGTGGTGTCAGTCTACTGTATATCATCTACCACAGTTTGGGACCCTCATGAGCCTATTCAGTGGTCGGATCCAGCATTGAAATTGCCTCAGAGGCAAGAGCCGTTTCTGTTACTGGTTTACATTGTGGTAGAAAAATCTAGTGCCTTTGTCGTTTGCTGCCTTCTGCGACTGAATCCTTCTCTCGGGCTGCTCTCACTCTGACATATTTCAGAAACCAGATTTATGCATGACATAGTACAAGGGGGAAAAGGTTTTCATGCACCCCTGAGCCTGGGGAATTGTGACAACTGTGATTCCCCCAGGCTTAAGGGTTTCAAGCACCCTAGGGCAGCTCTGCCCCTTAGCTGCTGGGACCAGCTGCAGGACTGGGCCCCTGTGCTGCTAGGACCCTGAGTCAGCAGCTGCTGGTGTTGGGTGTTGTGGACCTCCCAGCTCCAGCTAAGCATGGTGCACCCCCGCAACTGGGAGCCCAGCAGTTGATAGGTATCCTAGCCATGGGGGGGGGGGAAACCATGCTACACGTGCAAATTAAAGTTTGATAACAACCAGCTATAAAATTAATACACATTTTCAAGGTCTAACTGTATAGCTGGTTGGAGTTTTTTGTGGTGTGATAGCTACTTTGCACATCTAGCTGATCTTAAGGTAATTGCACAATTAACCAGTTAATTGCCTATGCCTCTAAAATGTAGAGAGGGCCTTATTCTCTTAATGCTTGGGTCCTTTGTCTGTTCCCTGTCACTAAGAACAAATAACTGAAAACGTTGGGCAAACATTTTTCAGCCCCTTTTTCAAAGTAAGGAACAAAGCTATACTGAATATCTTGTAGTTAAGTTGTGTATAGCGATAAACCTTATTTTTCTTTTAGAATTCCTTTTCGGTTGTGCTGTAAAATTTTATATTGATTCTCAAGCTTTCATTCTGATGGTTTAACATTTCCATGCCTTTCCCATATCTATTGTGTATTTTCCTTTCCATTTCATATTTCAGTTACCACACACAAGTCAGGTTAGCGGCAGCACCTGGTTGTTGGTGGCAGCTCGTGTTTTCACCCAGTCGCCCTATGGACAGCCAGTGGTGCAGGAAAGTCGAGTGACTTTGGCAAGGTTGCACAGTGAGTCAACAACAAATAAGCTGGGATTTCTATCCAAGATCCTTCTAGCTTCTTGTCCTTTATCAGCACAATTCCTATTCAAGGGCATGTATAAGTTGTCAGACTGTTCTTTAGGGGAGATGAGTGCTTGCAGCTCCTATTTAACTCGGAGGGAGTTGCAGCTGGCCCACACCTTTGAAAATAGTTCTGAACGCGGTCAAATTAAACCAGTTGTTTCTCCTGTGGGCCATGGTTTATATATGCCATGTAAATAGTTTTGAGCAACCCTGCACTCCAGCAGTTCTTGATGCTAGGATCTCACAATGCCGCATCTGCCTCCCTACATTACTAAGTGGTTACGAGACTGCGTGATATCCTCACAGTGGCAATGCTAACGCCTTCATCAAGTCCCAGATAGATTAGTAGAGTTGCAGTTCGCCTTCGCCTCAGAAAAATGAGCCACATGAAAACTGCTCCTGTGCATTATGTTTCTCTATTCATTGGAAATTGGGAGCCTATTTTTACAGGCTTGTGTACCTGTGGGTTCTTGGGGAATTTGATTTGAATGAACTTTTCAAGTGGATGAATTAGCTATGTTCCAGCCCCCGTGATGCATGCTTATTCCAAAGGAAACTAAATGGTATTAAGGCTGCTTTTAATTAAAAGTGTTTGTGTTCATAGAGAAGCTCGCTGCAGTTTAAATAGTCCACTTGAAATTCATACCATTTGACCATAAACATTAACTTTTGGCCACTGAAATGTTGCAATAATTTAAATAGAAAAAAGGCACTAATATTGATGTAAACCCCCCCCCCCCCCCCCCCCAACTTTCCTCCACTGTGGAGTATTTTACTCCCCAATGGATTTTCCTCAAAATTTTCAGATGGCAACTGAACACAATCTGCTCACTTACGTGTGGCTGCCATGAGGCGCTTTACTCCGTGGTTATACTTCAAGCTGTCACTCTCATGATTTTGTCTATTTATAGCCAAGACCTTAATTTGGGGTAATTTTCCTAAGTGTCTCTGTTTCCATCCAGGAAGAGCACACACCAACTGCTGAAACTTCCTTAGCTTGACAAAGGGTTTTTGAACTCGAAAGCTTGCTTAATAACTATTCTCCAACCATTTGGGTTGGTCTAATAAAAGATATCAAATTCACCCAAGGAACCTTGTCTGTTTAGAGAACCATTTTTGACTTGGGCATGTAACCAAGTTACCAGAGGTAGATTGGGATTTGAAAGTCAAGTACATCAGCTATGGTGTGGCAACTACCCGCTTTGTACAGTCTTATCCTGTGGTCAAGTAAGGGTTTCTTTACGTTCAGTGAGAGGCAAGATACTTCTGATTTACCACAGGCTAAGAGTGTGTACATGGGCATTTATAGCAACGTAGCTTACAGGTGTAAGTGGATACCTTTTACTTGCTTGTGATAAGGTGTTTGTGTGCCTATACAAAACCCTAGAAGCTTTGGAAAATCCCAGTTTGGGTAGAGCTACTTCCCTAGGGAGTTTTAATGGTGTCCAAATTTTGTTCTGGTTTCCAATTGGTAGAGAAAAACTGTAAGTAGAAATGAGCTAGTAGCTTCCTGGGAAAATCTCCAACCTGTGGGCCTATAGTTGGTTCCTAAATCCCTATGTAAGCATCTGCGTGAAAAAACGGAGGAGCTACAACAGTCATTGAAATCTTCAGGACATACAAAAGTTGAGCATCTCTGGAAATCTGGCCACTGTATTAAAGTGCCTTGAATATTTTTATTTCAACTGAAATAATAAAAAGATGTCTACATGCAGCTTCAGATGTCCTGACACCCAATTAATCCTACAATAGCCCAGCAGAAATAGCATGTTCTAATACTCTGCCAACCTACCAGTGACAAGAAGGCTATCCCTTTTACCCTTTCGTTGTTCTTGGAGGCAAAGATTAACTAGCCTTTTGTGTCATCCCTGAAAAGCCACCAAATCTGGATTTAAAAAAAAAATGTTTAGGGTTTATTAAGGAGTAAGAATCCCTATTCTAGATACCTGCATTTGAAAATAGTTGTCTATTTCAAATAGTTTGTCCAAATTTTGTAAATTTGAAGGGTATTTTATTGCATTGTGATATTGTCCACGGGAAATGTTTTGTGTGTATGTGTATATCTATGTGTGTGTGTATGTATGTATAAAATAGACTTTGCAATTGGTTTCACCACTCAACTAGAGCATGTCTAATGTCACATTGCATTGATGTAAATTATTTTTCACTATCCCTCTATTGCACATTCAAAAGAGAACCTTTTTCATTGCTGTCACCGATCAGGTTTCGCATGCATCTATCAACTCCACAATCTGGTTTAGTAACGTGGAGAGCCTGGTGAATATGAGAGTTTAGTTTGAGGGAAATGGATGGGTTAGCCATTTCAGAGTACGTTCCTGGAGTAACGACATGCAATTTATCCATAAAACTGCCCGCAGAACGCTATGAATAGTCTGAAATGAAATGTATAAGAAAATTAATCTTTATAAGAGGTTTGGGTGGTGACACAAACCATG